CCAAAGATGATAAATTTATTTGTAAATGAAAATTATTCCAAAAAGAAACATGTCAAAACTTTCAGTCCATCATTTCAACTTTATGGGGCCTTAGTTTTTATTTCTCATCCTTTGTCTCTTTATTTCTATGTCAGAGAAGGGCTGAAGCTTATCTTGATATATATTATATTCCAAGCCGTGTTATTTCTACAGTGTGTGTGTGTGTGTGTGTGTGTGTGTGTGTGTGTGTGTGTGTGTGTGTGTGTGTGTGTGTGTGTGTGTGTGTGTGTGTGTGTGTGTGTGTGTGTGTGTGTGTGTGTGTGTGTGTGTGTGTGTTGTGTTTTCTGTGTGTGTGTGTTTTCTGTGTGTTTTCTGTGTGTTTTTTTCTGTGTGTTTTTTTCTGTGTTTTTTTGTGTGTTTATGTCATATGAGATGTTGCAGAGCATAGGTCATTGTAGGATCAGTCTTAGATCACATTTTTTTTATCGTCAATATAATATATTAACTTGTGCCAACTTTGGAAATGATATTCGCTTTTTCCGTTTCCTATCTCTTTTATTTTTTTGTTCCAACAAGGTCCACAATTATATATTGCTCTGAAATTAATGTAGTATCTGTGATATTTCCAAGAACTTGCTCTTGATAGTGGATTAGCAATCAAACAGAAATGTCTGGAAAGTCCCCACACCAATACTGAAATATGTACTACTAAATAAGGGAAAATCTACTGGGAACCAGTAACAATCAGACAATTCATCTATTGCTGATCAAAATATCAGAAGCAGCATATGACCTTTTCATTTATTTAGCAGCACCATTTGACTGAAATAGACATCAAGAGTAAAATGTATTAAAATAAAATGGTTAAAATTAAATTAGAGCTGTTAGTGTCTGGAATACTGGCGAGCTTTCCTTACTGCACACACCCATTACACACCAAGTGAATACCTGTGTTGTGCAATATATGGAATTATAAAAATATATATATATATATGCATAAAACTAGTTGTTCCTGTTACTTACATAATTCCTCTTCATAGGAATGGAGGAGTGCGAGACCGAACTTCGGCCTCTCCTCAACTTTCGAGGACATTTTCTCTAAACAAACAAACAGTGCAATTCCTTTGCTGACGCCTACAACTGAGAGGGCAGCTTCAACTGATATTGGTGTAATTAAATAACCCGTATGTCAAGCATAATATAAATAAAAATTTCTAAGATTTTGGTGCAGAAATGAAATGGATTTATATTTTAAAACAGCTTAAATCCTTGGACTCCGCCAGGGACCAACAGCCCTAGGAACCCGATTATTTACTTGCCCCCCCCCCCCCCTTCAAAATACCTTCCAACGCCTATGCTGCTTTAGGTAAAATCAAACCGTTCGGATAGTGGAAGCAGGTTTACACCATCATAGACTTGTGTGTCACCCAGCATGACCTTCGTTAGGCTACTCGATGACCTAAGACAATGTGGTGACCTTCGCATCATGTCCCACATCATACATGGCGAGCTACTTATTACTTTTAATGTGTGTGTGTGTGTGTGTGTGTGTGTGTGTGTGTGTGTGCGTGTGTGCGTGTGCGTGTGCGTGTGCGTGCGTGCGTGCGTGTGCGTGCATCTGTGTTTGCACGTGGTTCGCATATATACCTTGGTGAGCCCCCATAGATATGTACCTATAACATTTTCTTTCTTATCCGCAAATAAATGTATGGTTAGTAAGTTAAGCACTTTCCGGCTGCCCTAACATAACACAGCAACAGGTATCGGGAATCAGATTTTAAAATGATATGGCGATATGTAAAAGACTTGGGTGGCCTATCAGTGTTACCAAATCACCCTCGGATATCAAATAAAACAAAATCAGTAACCAAAAAAATAAAGTGACAAGTGAGTACGTACATCAGCTGTATTTCATACATATAACATAAAAGAATACTGTCCATATAAGTAGGTAATGAGTCGAAGCTAACAGTAATGAGCAGCACCAAGCACGGGGTTTCTCGCGACGACGAATCTGGCAACAGCGCCGCCAGCCCACATCCACATCCTGGCATCTTAACAGTGAGTTCCCGGACGTCAACCATTCACAGCTGATAAACTCCAGTCATGTCAACACGTCGGGATCTTGACACCTTTCTCCTCCTTGGGAGTCACGTGTCGTTTCCCCTTTCTTGGAATCATGAGGGCCAGAGGGCTTAATTTGGTTGAAATCGTTCCACGGGGATGGGCGTTGAAGAGGCAAAATGGCGTGGTGTTCGTTTCGTGGTTTCAGCTGGAGATTTAGGTCTTGACTGAGACTTGCATGCCATTTCTGCCTAATGTCATGAGGGCTCACAGGGTCTGAGTTCTCATGTTTTTGGTTGGAGGCGATGGGTTGTGTTGATGCACTAAATATAAGTGTTTTGTTTTGAAAGATGTATTCTTTTTAAGTTTGATCATTATCTTTAAAAATAAAAGTGATGTAGACCTACCAGGATCTTCATGTTAGTCTGAATTTTAAGGGAAACTACTGAAGATTTACAATAGAAGTGTTGGTAAATACCGCGTTATGAACACTTTCTACTGGCAACCATATTTTAGTATCACGGAAGGATTAAATTAAAATGGAAAGCAAGTAGTGTATCATCAGCTTTTCATACTAAGTCTTCACACTTGATAGTTGAAAGTAATAAGAAATTACCTGGCAATTACAATGAATATTGCTGCAGTGGTTTAGTTTACTTTAACATGATTTCCATATCTCGAGGCTAGGCCAAGGCATGATAAACAGTTGTTACTACTTGATGATTTGTATTAAAAAGAAACAATTACAAATATACATAAGTATTAAATTATTGAAAAAAGAAAAAAATATTTGGATGTTTCTTCAAATACGTGAGATATCTTAATATCAGTTTGCAACCAAAATACATAGAAAATTTATTTCTAATGATTGATATTTTTGTTTTTAGTTATTGGCATAAGTTTATACATTGTAAAGAAATAAAAAGGTTTGAATTTAATTTAACAAGATTAGTTTTGATAATGAAATATGTGGATGATGTTCAGAAGACGCTTGCACATCCTCTGTTGTCTGAGTCAGTATGACCCCTGCATATGCCAGTGCTCTGGCAAATACCAATAAAATTTTTTTTTTTTTTTTTTTTTTTTTTTTTAAGCTACATCTTGAAAACCTCCCTGGTATTCACCATCCAATAAGAAAAAACAGTTCAACTGTATCTTGTTTTTGAAGGCACTGTGGATGTTCTCAAAATGATTACTGTAGTTCATAATTTAGACATGCAAAAATTAGATTTTTCATATAACAAATATAATTGTCTTAGGTTTCCTACATAGTAGTATAACTTTCAGTTTGGAGATTGAATTTGTGTTGGAAATAACCTATAAAGTATTAAGAAAAAAAATATGCCATACTGCTAGAGAATGAGGATAGGGAAACAAATATTACATAATTATTGGCTACACATCTATTAAACTTGCTCATGCCTCTTCATAATTCCAAAATATATACATAAGGTCTATTTTAGATTTATAAATAAGGTATACAACATGAACTAAATGATATAAAGTGCTGTGTATGTCCAATGCCTTTTTATGTCATATATGTTAGAATGTAGTATATGTAACTGTTTTCATGGAAATATAAGAGAATAGTCAAGTTTTACCTATTTAAACTCATATTATTATTTCATGTTCAGTATGATATCACACTAATGGAAACAGTAGAAGCAGTGGCCAGTAGCGAAGATGGGCAGACTGAAGCAAAGAGAATTCGTCTGTTAGTGGCACCAATGCTGGAAGGTCAATGGCTGTTCGATTTCTTAGTATCAGTGACAGAGAGCAAATTTCTATATAATGATTCATGAAATTCACACTACACATATTGAATACAGAAAATGGTGAATTTAGTTTTCCATTAATTAACAGCTTCAAAGTGTGAGCAACTAGATGGTGGATCCACTGAACAGACAACTAGTATCTTCTTGTACAGTGCTGATGGAAATCTTGGTAAGTTTGAAACCATTTTTTGGTATTTTTAGTAGACTGAGGTTAGACTTGTGAATTTTATATGATACATTTGTCCTTCACTGACTTTATTCAAAACTTCTCCTTTCTCTTCTTTCAGTTCCTGCTGAGATTGTTGTTGACAGTTTGAATGATAACATCATAGCTGTCCCGGTAGAAAATAGTGTACTGAAGAAGGAGAAGGTAACAAGAGTGTTGGAGGCACCCAAAATTCTCAGAACCACAGAAATTCAAGGATTAGGGCCCAAAAAGACTACAAAAAGCCAAAATATTACATTGTTACAGTCTCGGCCTCAATCATCAAACACTCGGACCAAGTGTGTCATTCCCTCAATATTGCAAGCCAAACCCAAGCATCCATTGCAAAACACAGTCACTAAAAATATTGTCATTGCATCACATACTCAAAACAAAATACCATCAAAGCCAGAGCCCATCAGTACAAAGATCCTGATAACCTCGGATGGACAGGCAAAGCCCCAGCCAATTCTGAGTACAGCAACCCTCAAGATGCCTTCACCTGTGGATTTGCATGTCAAGGCACAACTTTCTGATTTTATTGATGATCGCTTGTCCTTGCTTAGCGATGTGTCAGAGAAGAGTGGAGGTCAAGGGTTAGTGAAATATATAATTTTTATTGATTCTCATTTTGTTGTTTAATTTCAAGCTATTGAATTAATTTGGTGATAAGCTTTTGCTATTGAAAACTATGATAGAAGTACTATCAAATTCTGTGTATGTACATATACTATTCATTTTTCTGATGACAGAAATTCAATTTAAAACCAATAGTAAATTTTTAAAATTTAAGAAAGCTGTGAGAAGTTTACCATAGGTCTTGAATTAAATTTCTGGAAGGAAAATAGACCTACCTTTTAGATATGTCTTCCCTGAAAATTAGTTTGCAGCATTAAGTGAATTTCTGTTATGTACGTACTGAAAATATTCATTTGTTCTCATTCACTGAAGAGGGAGGTGCCTGTCAGACAGTGGTAATGCGTGCCAACAGTCTGGGGGAGCTCGAACTGGACCCAATGTTTGTCACTGGTGAGGGACTCATCGAGCCTGAAGGGGAGGAAGTGAGGCTTGCAACAGCCTCTGACCTGAGCCAGCAGACCGTCTGAACTGCAGCATATTGGTAATTCAGTCCTATGATATATGGAGGGAACATATCCTTTTCTATGTGGAATAACAAGGTTTTGTAGAAAAGGAAAGACTATGCTTTCTGTAAGATTATGTCTTTGCACTGTCTATCAATAATCATATACTTTTTTATTTGTTCTTAAATGATTTCGATTTTATTTAGTAAAAGTTTCTTTTTAGGCTGGAGTAAATAAAACAGAAGATGTGAATATTGCTGAAGAAGTGCAGGTTGACTTACAGCCTTCTGCAGCCAGAGTCAAGGTAATATGTGTGTGTGTGTGTGTGTGTGTATGTGGTGTGTGTGTGTGTGTGTGTGTGTGTGTGTTGTGTGTGTGTGTGTGTGTGTGTGTGTGTGTGTGTGTGTGTGTGTGTTAATCCCTAAAGTCCTATCTACCACATGCTTGGCAAAATCCAAAATGTATCCATAGTCCTGTCCATCCCAGTCGTGGGATGCCTGTCAAAAAGTGGCAGAATTTTTTCTATGATCCTCATTATAATTGATACGTACATTATTTATCAGTGAAGTATAAAGGTGTTAGTGCAGCTTGTAGGTTTTATATTTTATATTAAGTAACATCTTTAATTTCTGTTAGGGATGGAATTGTCATAGATGAAAAGTGTCTTAGATTTCATCATTTTCTTGATTCTGTGCAATGTTTGCCATGTTGGTGATGTATGACATATGCAGAAAAAATACCTTTAGGTGTTGTTTCAATTTTTAGTACACTTATTATAATGATTGTATATTTCTAGGGTAGCAGTGGCAATGTCAACCAAAACTGGTTCACATCAAGAGAGGATAAGCAAATGTTACGGTGGAGAGGCCATGCTTGGAGACAAGGAATGTGGTCTAAGGAGGAGACTGACATGCTTCAGCAGAATATTGAAAAGTACTGCTCTGATCGTGGACTCTCTGATCCAGCCTCAGTCATTTTCAAGATGTCCAAAGAAGAGCGCAGTGGATTCTACCGGGTTATTGCCCAAGGCCTTAATAGACCACTCTTTTCTGTGTATAGGAGAGTCATTAGGTTAGTATGATACCTAAAAAAAGCCTCAGCTGTAGAATGACACTGAAAACATTAGCATAGTGTTGAGAAATTAATTTTAAATCCTAAAGATGATAAATATGAAGGCATTGGTATTTGATTTCAGGCTGTATGATAATAGAAACCACATCGGAAAGTACACATCTGATGAAGTTACAAAATTAAGAGAGTTACGCATGAAACATGGCAACAACTGGCAAGCTATTGCAGCACATCTTGGGCGGTCAGCTGCCTCTGTGAAGGACCGTTGTCGACTCTTGAATGAGAACTGTAACAGGGGTGTCTGGTCACCAGAGGAAGAGGATCGGTTGGCAGAGGTTGTGTATAACTTAGCGAGTGCCCTCCCAGGGGAACAGGTAAGGGAATACCTTAGTTGTCATCTGTCAAGAGGTTATATTAAGTAGTAAATAATGAAGAAATTAATTTTAGTTGCCTTGTTTGTTTTCTGCAATTAAGTGTTTTTGTATTAATTTTTATTTATTTATGCAGTTTCTATAGTTAGCATTGCATAACCTATGAATGGTAATGCATAAAAGTTTTTGGAAATAAGATACAGGTAACGAGTGGAATTTCTTGGGGAGAAGTTGCTGCAAGAGTTGGCACAAGGTCTGAAAAACAGTGTCGAACAAAGTGGTTGAATTACCTGAACTGGAAGCGGACATCAGGGGTCGAATGGAGTAAAGCAGATGATGTACAACTGATCTGCAGGTAGTTGGAGTTGGAGTTTTCTTTGTAAGGAATGGTTTATCACTGAAATATATCTTCATATTTTCATGTTTACCTTGTAATTTTGAGTTTGATATTATAGTGTGATCTTTCTATTTCAAGCCTGGTACTTAGTAGGACTCATTTAGACATTAAAGTGATGTACAGTATGAAATTTACTGCATATTTGTAATCTCCTTTGTAGACTTAGTGTGTGTGGTGTTCAGGAAGAGTCACAGGTAGACTGGACCGCACTCGCACGTGGATGGCCAGCATGCCGCTCCCCACATTGGCTTAGAGGGAAGTGGTGGAACCTGAAAAGGAAACTGCCCAATGCAAGTCAAGAATCAAGCCTTAGAGGTAGGGTTATTTTTCATTCATTCATTATAAAAGCATTTATATAATTCTACCTAATTAAGTTCTCTTGATTTTGAAATTGCACAAAATATTTTTGAACATAGCAAGGAAAGTAAACACCTTGCTCTACCCACAGAATACATAGTACTTATTTCCATACAATCACTCTCAGGCTCCTTGGTGCATGGGATTGCCAGTCACTACTCTATGTTTTTTTTATTGGCTGCATTTGAGGATTTAAACAGCATTGTACATGGCACAGGTGTGATGAAAATCAGTTGCCCTTGCACTTTATTTTGTTTGGACTTCCTTTAACTCATAGTTTATGCTGTTATAGGTATATTTCCTTAATACAGGATGTTTTTGTTGCATAAAATGATACCTTGCTTTGAAGAGTATTTTATATTTCATGCTTTAACAGCATCACATTGATTGTTATTATATTTTGTGTGTGTGTGTGTGTGTGTTTATTTATATATATATAAAAAAAAAATATATATATATATATATATATATATATATATATATATATATATA